AAAAAGTACGACAGTGTTCACATTTGGGTCTAACTGGGTTTAGACGTTACTGCGTTTAGTGTTTATTCTGTGTAAAAATTTGAAGCTGGTTCGTGAGCTGCATTGGAAATTTCGATTTTTTTCTTTTGAGCGTGTAAGAATTCTTGCAGTGCTCTCACATTTAAACGACTGTAAAAGATCACTCGAGACTCAGATTTAAGGCAAAGTGGCATTGCAGGTGACTGTGTTTAGTGTTTACACTGTGTGAAAACGACAGCTTTCTACTAGTGGGTATTTGGGAGTTGTGATTTGTTTTGTTAACTTGTGAGAATTTTCCATGCCGCCTCAAATATAAACAATTGTAAAACATCGGTCGATCCTGGAGTTAGAGTGAAATTCGGTGCACGTGTGGCTGTATATAGTGTGTACACTGTGTGGAAAGATGAGCGTGCTGCTTCAGTTGGTTTGGGAGTTATGAATTTCTCTTTATGAGCGGGTGAGAATTCCAAGGATTTTCGCTGCAGCCTCAAATATAACCGACTGTGAAAAATCAGTCGATACTCAAATTAGACTGAAATTTGGCTCAGAATGTGACTCTATGTGTGGTTTAGATGATATGAAAATCGGAACTGGTTATGTGAGCGCGTTTTCGAGTTATGATTTTTTTAGTGCGCGGGTAAGGATTTTAAGGTTTTTTGTTGCAGCTTCAAATATAAAGCTTTGTAAAAAGTACGAAAATCTTCACATTTGTGCCTAATTGGGTTTAGACGTTACTGTGTTTAGTGTTTACTCTGTGTAATAATTTGAATCTGGTTAGTGAGCTGGATTGGAAGTTACGAATTTTTTCTTGCGATGCTAAGATTGCGTGAAATTTGCTACATCTCGACTTTTTTATACTGTGTAGAAAGTGAAGTTTGTTGATGTAACTGCTGTGAGGGTTATGAAGGTTTCTTCAACGGTGTCCATTGCAGCCTCGAACATAAGCGAATCTGGCAAATCAGCTAATGTTTAGATTTGGGTCAAAGTTGGCATATAAATGAACGAACATGTTGTTCATACTGTGTAAAATTGTCAACTGGCTGATTAAACACCTTTGGGAGTTCTTAATTTTTTTTAATAAATATATGTCGAAAGTCACATTTGAGACAAATTTGGTCTGTAGCTCACTGAGATTAGTATTTACACTGGATGATTTGGAAGTTGTGATTGTTTTTCGCCGACTTGTAAGGAATGTAAACATTTTTCTGGCAGATGCAAATATAAACAGTTGTTTTGGGAGTTCTATTTTTTGCGCTGTGTCGCTTTTTACACGAAGAGTCAAAATCCATCGCCTGTTTGCACCGCATAAAATCCTCAATCGAGATCAAGCGAATGATGGGGGAGTGATGGAGTGATTTGAAGCTGATAGAAGTGGCAATGTGGGCACTACTGATGAGTAAATTACACGAAGTTAGATGGGATGTACTAAAAGAGATAATTGCATACATTTGTTCAAGGCCAGGCCAGAGGGATCACGTCGTACTGTGACCTTAATAACCTTGATTTGGTTTCCATCGGTTCTTTTTATCCTGTTAGTTTTTCAAAGGCTGATTGCGAGTTTGTACACACACCGATTGACTGAAAAAATTTACAAAAAAAACTACATGGTTGTACAGTGCGGTTGGTTGTCGCATTTGCTAATGGTAAATGGAAGGGTTCACAGCAGTTGGCAGTCGATTGGCCAAACTACTGTAAAGCGGCAGTTTGTTGCTGAACTAAGCGCACTTGGATAGCAGGTTTCAGTTTCGTCTGTTCTGAAACAAAATGTGTTCCAAACCCGCTATCAAAGCAGGCGCTAGCAAATGTTGGTCAGTATCCAATTGCGTTAGCCGCGGATCGATTTTCAAGAACAAGTCCCAACTTGCGAGTTTCTTGGTCACACAATCGGTTACACCGCTAAGGTCGAATAGTGAGAATCAAAATTACGACAAAAGCTTCTTGCCAAACTGAAGAGGCGTCTCATGCACACAGTCCAAGTATTCAAGACTGCGAGTTCCACGATGAGCTCAATGTTGGAGGATAAATTGCCTGATGGAGAGCGCGGACAAACATCTTCACTGAGGAAATTTGAAGCGACTTGGCAAGTTACCCACATTGAGCGCCCCGGTTGGCTGAAGAAGGCTGACTTCTTCGGGCAACTGGTGCTGGTTCACGATTCACAAACACACATTCAAGTCCGGTACGTCAAGGCCCGGATGTAATACTTAAATGGTCTCTCAAAGGTTGTAAAACACAAAGGAAATCACAAAAATATCAAACACACGCACATAAGTGATGCTGATTATAGTTAAACACCGATTTGGTTGCTGCTGTATACAATACGCCTCCTTCAGCTGATTGGTAGGACCCAAGCGAATAGGCGCCGAGTGTGTGTGAAGCGGTGCTACCAGTCAGCCTGCAGAGCGACCAAAAGGCCCAACAGCCAATTGGTTGTGAATTGTGACTGTTTAAATGTAAACTGTTTTATGTACCATTTGGACTTCCGACACTGAGCTGATACTGAGAACATACATGGTGACTCCTACATCAACTGGAGCTCCTGTAAACCGCAAAAGCTTTCAATTTAAAGTGAATATTGAGGTGAACGCAGGGCAGTTTGTTCGGGCTGAAACTGCCATGAAAACCAAATCAAAACTTGTGAACTTGTGAACCCCGGGCCTGTCCAACGCCCAGCCCTTTGAACCTTCTGGAAGGGGCTGGCAAAGGGCTGGAAATATGGGGGACGGGGACACTAGATTGAACGAACGAACAACGGAACACTAAAAAATAACCGGACCATCAATCAGCCTGGCAGGTCAAAGGCGACTGGATGGATGAGCGCCGGTCGTGTTCTTTGACTTGCCACCCGATTTCGATCCGCTCAAACGACATCAACAACGGTTAAAACGGCCACGCTCTTAATTGTTAAGTACCATTTGGACTTCAGAGAGCGAGCTGATAGAAAGAACGTACATGGTTACCCCCACATCAACCGGTGCGCCTGCAATTACACAAAAATAATTTAGTGAGCCCCCATTTGTAGACAGCACACAGTGGCGTGGGTGCGGGAGTGAAACAAAGCCGACAAATGTGGTTTCAACTCGGAACTTTATCAGATCAAACGTTCGATGGCTTGAAGCTTGCCGGAAGCGTTGGGGGGAATTAAATCAACGTGATTGGTGAAACTTGAAATTGGCGGGACGCAGTTCCGTTGCTCTGGGCAAAAGAAATGCGTCCCATTTCCACTACAGACTTTGATCAGTACCATTTGCACCTCGTTGAGCGAACTTATGCTCAACACGTACATGGTGACGCCCACTTCAACCGGCGGCCCTGAAAAGTGGAAAATTCATGCAATCTTGTCCTAAATTCAGTCCCATCAGGCCTGCAAGTGCTGGTTTTTACACCATGGTGGCAAACAATCGTTTATAAAATCAGCGCCATTAGGTTAGAAGGTCGATGGGATTTCATCGTCACCTACCATCGATGTTCTGATTTTCAAACTTAACATCTGGATTAAAACTCATCTATCAGCCTATGAAGGCTTTCACGGCCGGTTAAATCACATTTAGGAATGTTGGTCTATGGGAATTTCTTCCTGACGTTTCGTCCACAACTGCGACTAAGACTCTTAGTAGGAAAGCACGGGAGATCACTTCGCCCACTGCCTCATCGCCTTTGATAATGTCCTGCGCAGTTGTGGACGAAACGTCAGGAAGAAATTCCCATAGACCACGGCTTCAAAGCTCGGAAAACATTCCTAAATGTAAAACTCATCTGTTCCTTCAGGCCGTTGTTGAAGAAAACTTGGAGTTCTCCGATCCAGAAAAATCCACGCGGAGCCAAATATCGGAAAACAGTCGCTGTGTGCCCTGAAAGACTTTCCATGTCAACGAAGACAAGTGTTTCCATTGTAAAGCCCAAATCGCTCTTAAGAGAGCCATTGTATATGTTTTTTTTACAAACTTCTTTTTGGGTATTTCGCCTCAAAATTGTTTGTCTTTAAAA